AGACCAGGTAATGATCAGTAATCAGCCCATTTGCTTCATTTTCTGCCTCATGTCACACATCATGTCCTTACCACAGAACAGAGGAAGGAAACAAAGCCAGTGGCACCAACAAGAAGGAGAGCAAACGCTCACACCGCCTCTGCTGCCAGGAAAACGCCCATCTCCACGACTTACTGCCACTTCCTAAAGCAGATTCAAAGTTGCCACGCCCCCTGCTAAATAACTCTGTCTCCGTGATGAGGTGGGGAGGGATACAAAAATAAATAAATAAATAAAAAATGAAGCAACAAAATCGGGCCTTTCTTTTTTGTCTTCAGAGTGACAAGTGACGCTGCTTTGTGCTCGACGGCTGCTGCGGCACATTTGACAGGTCAGGCCCGGCTGCTTTTGTGTCGCCACCATAAAGAGGAGTGAAGGAAAAACACAAACCGCGCCACTGTTCCGTTGTGTCGCTGGCTATTAGTCAACGTGACGGCCTTTGCAGATGCTAATGGCTCATCGTGTGCTGCTGCCGGCCTCCGTCCTCACAGAGAGGCGCTCTCTGATGACACAAAGGCCTTCTGCTGGAGGCTGACTTTTAACCCCCCCCACACACACACACACACACACACACACACCCCTTTACTTTTCAAGGCTGCGACAAAGTCATTAGGGCTTTCTCACTCAGCAACAGCAGCAAAGAAAGCAACAATTTAACAAGAAGCAGTTCTCTTTATAGGTGAAGCCTCAGGTGATGAGGATGAGTCCGTCGTCCCGTCCCCCCCTCTCTTCATCCATCACTCCTCACTGTTCAGCCCTTTGGGTAATGTGGAGAGGTGGTAACAGCCTGGCGTCTGTGAAAGGAGAGAAGAGGCCCGCGAGTGGAGGACCTCTGGACTCCAACTTATTAATCAGTCAGACCCTCAGCTGCCTGCCTGGGGCTGCGGCATGCCTTCAGCCTGCTCTGGGACTAGATAACAGCCTGTAGACCTAAATACTCAGAGGGTTTTATTTTCTTTTTGCCCCAGACCTGAAGCACAGGGCTCAGCTCATCAGCACACAGGTCACTGCATCCGGCAGCAGCAGCTTTAAAATAACAGCATCCCATCCAAACACACASAGACGGAGAACAGAGGTCTGCAGGGCTGAGAGCAAAACAATACATCAAAAGGAGGCTCACTTAGTGTTTTACAAATGTTCAGACAAGGAAAAACAGAGGATTTCTTTGTTTGAAGCAACAACAAAACAATTAAAAATAAAAAAGTACATAAATTKAATATTTGGTGTAAATTACTGATCTGATCTATGAAAGTTTTTCAATAAAGTGAACGTTTTTAACACAATAGGTGCATCTCTTCAGTTAACATGAAGTTTTCTGAATTTTTAAAAAATCTACAAACTTTTACTAAACGTCCATCCGTCCACTTTCTGCCGCTTATCGGGGGTCGGGTCGCGGGGGCAGCAGCCTAAGCACAGAGACCCAGACTTCCCTCTCCCCAGCCACTTGGGCCAACTCCTCTGGGGGAATCCCAAGGTGTTCCCAGGACAGCTGAGAAATACAGTCCCTCCAACGTGTCCTGGGTCTTCCTCTGGGTCTCCTCCCAGTGGGACATGTCTGGAACACCTCACCTGGGAGGCGTCCAGGAGGCATCCTAACCAGATGAACCACCTCAACTGGCTCCTCTCGACGTGGAGGAGCAGCGGCTCTACTTTGAGTCACTCCCTGATGACTGAGATTCTCACCCTATCTCAGGGAGAGCCCAGACACCCTGTGAAGGAAACTAGTTTCGGTCGCTTGTATCCCCGATCTCGTTCTTTCAGTCACTACCCAAAGCTCATGACCATAGACGAGGGTAGGAACATAGAATGACCGGTAAACCGAGGGCTTCACCTTCTGGCTCAGCTCCTCCTTCACCACAACAGACTGGTACAGCGCTCGCTTCACTGCAGATGCAGCACCAATCCACCTGTCGATCTCCCGCTCCATTCCTCCCTCATTTGTGAACAAGACCCCGAGATACTTAAACTCCTCCACTTGGGGCAGGACCTCTTCCCCAACTCTGAGAAGGCAGCCTACCCTTTTCCGGCTCAAGACCATGGTCTTAGATTTGGAGGCACTGATCCTCATTCTGGCCGCTTCACACTCGGCTGCGAACCGCTCCAGTGAYAGCTGGAGATCATGACTTGACAAAGCCAATAGGACCACTTCATCCACAAAAAGCAGAAATGTGATCCTAAGGTCACCAAAAAGYATCCCCTCAACACCTTGGCTGCTCCTAGAAATTCTGTCCATAAAAGTTATGAACAGAATCAGTGACAAATGGCAACCTTGGCGGAGTCCAACTCTCACCAGAAACGAGTCTGACTTCCTACCAGCAATGTGGACCAAGCTCTGGCACCGGTCATACAGGGACCTAACAGCCCGTATCAACGGGCCTGGTACCCCATACTCCTGGAGTACCCCCCACAGGAGTCCCCGAGGGACACGGTCAAACGCCTTCTGCAAGTCCACAAAACACATATAGACTGGGTGGGTGAACTCCCATGCACCCTCCAGGACCCTGCTGAGGGTGTAGAGCTGGTCCACTGTTCCACGACCAGGACGAAAACCACACTGCTCTTCCTGAATCCAAGATTCGACTATCTGATGGACTAACTGTGTCACCTGAATACTTCCTCCATGACTGTGATGTGATGTCACAACTTGGGCAACTTAAATGATGGAAGAAGACAACAGAGGGCTATACACTCATACAAATATAAAACTGCCTTTTAATATATACAGTAAATATATATTACTTAGCACTCAGAGCAGCTCATATAGTCTAAGAGCTGCTTCTTCTGTCCAACCCACCAATGAGGGCTGGACAGACGTCACCGGCCTGTGGGCCACCAGTTGCCTATCCCTGGTCTAAACATGAAATATTCACAGACAGTATTTTTATTTCTTTCACAAGTTTGTGAAAAGAAAAAATCTGCAGAGAAAATGCATCTTGTGCAAAAGTGCATGCAAGTATTTATTGCAGCCAGTGAAAATGTGGGACAGAACAAAGAACATCTAAGTCCTATAATCTACAATAAAAAATTTAAGTAATAAATCTTTTCTACACATACATGGAAACAGAAAATTCTACAACAATCTTACTGCAGTGACTTCCTTTGTGGACAGTTTAATCCTAATTTGTACAAACAAAAATCTGTATTCCGGACTGCATTTTATTAAAAACGCACTAAATCTCTTCAGATGTTTGAGTCATCAGATCATTTTGCTGTAATGTCAGCTGTTTTTTATGTCTCTCATGCAGAGTTGTTTACTTTTATTGCTTCCTGTCAGTCATGCAATAACCTGATAATGATAAAATAATTCTCTGTTTCAGGGTTTCTCTTATTTACTGATTCAGTTTTTGGTGACTTTCTGCTTCTGTTCTGTTGTTGGATCATTTATTGATGGATTAAATGCAGAGTCTATAAATGATAAAATATCAGCATCCGCAGATTAGGAACAGAACAAAATCAGACGTATAATCCTACAATTTCATAAAGATTAAAAAAGCAGGGTCATGAGACTGGAGGAGCCTGAAGCCATGTTTACATCTCAGTGAAACAGACTAAATCATATTGGTGTTTAAACCAACAAGCTTACAAACATGCCTACAAAATAATAGTAGACTTTTATTTTTAGTTTAGCATGTTAGTATGAAGATGTTCCATTTTATAGATAGCTGGAAAAGTCCTTTAATTTAAAGAAAATTAGTCGTTAAGACTTGTTAAGTTTTGAGTTAAGTGCTGATGCTGAACAGCCAGCTAACARTGATAACCTCACTGAAAAGAAACACGCAGACAATAAATTCAGCAGAAAAGTTGCTTCRGGTGTACGCTCAAAAGAGCAAAAGAAAGTAAAAAAACAAAGACTGAAATAAAAACAAGTCAATTTAATTTTAAACACATATTTAATAAATAACGCACATCTGCAGGGGAACACCATGCACACATTATTTTCTAAAACATACATGTTTTCGACCCAAATCCTCAGTTTTCAGAGTCCTCGTGTGTCGGCGGCTCCCTGACTGCCTGTTCACTTTATCCAAGCTGAACGCACATCATATTCATGTATTTACAGAAAACCATTTACACAAGAATTAAAGAGTGAATGAACAAACACGGGCAGCATGATCCCTCTCTTCCTTTGCAGGCAAATAGATTTAATCACTTTTGAGTTTCGAAGCAACGCGTGGGCGGAACCGGAGAGGTCCGAACAGTGGTGAAGATGAAGTAGAGGAAGGTCTACTTCATCTTCATCTACTAAAGACAAGAAAGAGAAAYGAGCAGAACTTTGGGAGGAAGAACAAATGTTGTTTTCTTGACTTTGAAGACAAAGTGAGATCATTCTTTTCATGTTTGAGGTTAATAATCAGGCAGGCCCAAATGGGAGGATGAGTACAAATGTACGTGAGGTGACAAAAAAACAAACAAATAAACAAACTGACAAAAATCCAATTGACCAAATTAGACAAATCATAACTCATAATCTAATCCAAAGAAGAAAACTCTCTCTGGAAAGTGCTTTAAAATCACCCTGACAATTTTATTNCTCTCTGGAAAGTGCTTTAAAATCACCCTGACAATTTTATTTCCTTACTAGCTCCTAAAAGACATTTTATATAACTTTTTTAGAATTACAACTTATTTTAATCTTTATTTATTTTTAAAGTTAATAACTTTTATTATATAACTCAGATTAGGATCTCAATTTCTAACATCCTAATTTAACTGTAATTTATAAAAACKCATCTTGTCATCATTTCTCTATATTGTGAAACAGGCCAACAAAAAGAAACATGACATAATGTGATTTTGATAAACATGAGTATAATATTTATCAAAGCCAATAAAAAAGGGGGTATTTTAGTGGTAAAACAGGGATGTCCATATTTAACTTGTTTCAGGTGTTTTTTAGTTCATAATGTCCAATTTTTAAATGATGACTGTTTACCAGCTGAGGATATGAAAGTGGGAGAAAAACGAGTTCAGTCCTCATTTATTGAAAAGACGTAGACAAATGTCTAACAACTCTATGCACTGAGTGTTTATTTRGTGTTTGTGCTCCTGTCCCTCTCTTGTCTTAGAGAAAGAAATTTTAGGAAAACAGAAAAAGCCAGAAAACGYTTCCTTCGTCTTTCGCTTCCGCTCAGGTCCTTAACACCATCAGCGTCTGGGTGGTGGGAGGAATGGGAAGCCGGTACGAGGAAGATAAAATCCAGAGTGTGTTGAGSGGGGTGCCAGGGGGCGATGGCAGTCGTTTACAGATGTGGTGTTTTGTTGTTCAGTGCATTCCGTCTGCTGAGATACAAAGACGTATTACTGTTAACGCTGCAGAGATGAAGCGTCAAGAACAAACAGAGAGGCTTCACGATAACCAGGCACGGTTTTAATTAGGAGCAAGAAATACATTTCATTTCACAGAAACAAATACCTGAAGATGTTATTTTTCTTTGTGGAGAGCTTCTATGAAAGCTTCAAGTTTCTCTTGGATCTCACGAACTTTCTCTGCAAAATACAGAAGGSAAATGTGTCAAAGTTTATTTAAAAAATATCCTAAAGATAACATTTAAATGTTAAATAACAACAGGTATAGATACATGATGAAACTTTTGTGGAATTTTGGAGTGTTAGTTGGGCAAATGGACTCCCACTCCGGGTTAGTGGGGAGTCTCTGCTTAAGGTCGTATTCACTCCTGATAATCTGGTAGACTCGGTTCGATTGGGGACCAAAACTGCAAGCTTTGTTTACATTTTCTGTTGGTGCAATTTGAGTTCACACTGCACTTTCTCAACTGAACTAAACCCTGTAAACAACCTGTTCCTGCCCTCACCTGTGGGGGCATTGCACAAAGAACCACTAAAGGAATCAACATGAAAACCTCAGAACAAGACATGGAGCGCAACTTCCTTCTTCACAAAATGTAAACAAACAATAGTAACGTTACATTTTAGTGGTTATAGGGTTTATTTTTTTGTTTTTGGCAAATGTGCTAAACAAACAGTCTTCAACAATGAGCTCAGCATGAGAGGAAGATGAGGCGGAACCACGGAGAATGTTGTTTTGCGCACAATGTGGCTGAGGTGTTAATCGAGTAGGAGCGTGTCCAGCTCCACAGTCATGATGTCCACCTTATACAGTC